CATATACATTTTTTTTCCACAAGTTGTCTTCTTATTTCTTCACAGCCAACTCAGGCATCATGAACATATACAGTATGTGCCTTTCAGAGTTTTTGCCATAAGCTGTTTCCAAAGTACAATTCTATTGATATTTTATTTATTTATTTATATTCTTCCTTTATTATTTTTGTAAATAACTCAAAAGCTTCTCCTGTGCAATGGGAGTGAACATAATTAATATTCCTTCCTCTTCTTATTTTCCTCACAACAATAACCCTGTGAGGTGGGCTGGGCTGAGAGAATGTGATTGGCCCAAAGTCACCCAGCTGGTCTCCATTACTAAGTTGGGACTGGAACTCACATCTCCTGATCATCCAGCCATCTGGTGATGATCTGGAGATGATCATCTCCTGATCATCTGGCCTTCATGGCTAAAGTGAGACTAAAACTCACAGTCTCCTGGTGATTGGCCCAAAGTTACCCAGCTGGCTTTCATGACAAAGGCAGAACTGGAACTCACATCTCCTAGTGATTGGTCCAAAGTCATCCAGCTGGTCTTCATGGCTAAAGTGAGACTAGAATTCATAAGTCTCTTGATGATTGGCCCAAAGTCACCTAGCTGAGTTTCATAGCTAAGGTGGGATTAGAAATTACTGTCTCCCAGTTTCTAGCTTGGTGCCTTCACCAGTAGACGAAACTGGTATTAGATTTATGATAGAAATATTACATTTCTTGTGTTGTATAGTATAAATTTTGAGTAAAGTTTCTCATTCTAAGTGTTAATGAGCATTATTATTCTTGAATATCTTCCTGGAGAGAGAAGCAGAGATGCCAGCAGAAAAAACTTCTCCTTTGCAATGGGAGTGTGTATCTAAAAAAAAAAAAAAAAAAAAAAAAATCTAATCCAGTTTTCAGATGGGACAATCTGCTTTTTTTGATAGTTTTTGTTCCAAAGAAATAACATGGATTTTGAGACATTGCCTCACTTTTAAAATCACAAGCATCACCACCACCAAACCATCTGTTTAAAGTACAGATTTGATTTTGCAAAGGTCACAGGAAATGCCACCTTGCAATGGATTCCTTTCAACGAAGCTTTATCTCTTTAAATGTATCACAGTACCGTAGATTTTTTTTAGCAATAGCAATAGCACTTAGACTTATATACCGCTTCACAGTGCTTTCCAGCCCTCTCTAAGCAGTTTACAGAGTCAGTGAATTGCCCCCAACAATCTGGATCCTCATTTTACTGACCTCGGAAGGATGGAAGGCTGAGTCAACCTTGAGCTGGTCAGGCTTAAACTCCTGGCAGTGGGCAGAGTTAGCTTGCAATACTGCATTCTAACCACTGGGAGGGAGGGAGGGAGGGAGGGAGGGAGGGAGGGAGGGAAGGAAGGAAGGAAGGAAGGAAGGAAGGAAGGAAGGAAGGAAGGAAGATAGCAATAGCACTTAGACTTATATACCACTTCATAATGCTTTCCAGCCCTCTCTAAGCAGTTTACAGAGTCAGCCTATTGCCCCAACAATCTAGGTCTACATTTTACCAACCTCAGAAGGATGGAAGGCTGAGTCCACCTTGAGCCAGTGAGATTCAAACTGCCAAATTCCTGGCAGCCGGCAGTCAGCAGAAATAGCCTGCAGTACTGCATTCTAACCACTGCACCACCAATGCTCTTAATCCAGATGCAATCCAGATGCATCCACAGAACTATGCAAAAGTGCAGGCGAGGAGTCAGTGCTAGGAAGAGGATAGGCAAGAGATTGGGAGGAGTTTGGTAGTAACTTTTTATATTGACCTATTTTATAAAAAGGCACCCATTTCCAGGGACCGTAGATAGCTCCCTTCATCAGAGGCAGGAATAAAGTGAGCTGCAGTTCACACAGTTTTCTGCAGGAGTCGTCATGGATTGGAATGCATTTCAGTGCAACATTGCAATTGCTGAGTCAAACTAGACCATTTGAGCCTTCCCCCCACCCCCCATTTCATTGAAATGGAAAGATGGCCTGAAGCTCTCTAAGAGGATCCAGAAGATGACTATCCTTCCAAGTGGAATCGAAAAAGAGAATCACGGCTCATTAGCTAATGCTCCCTTCCTCACACAGAAAACGAGAGAGAGAGAGAGGAAATCTTGAAAGTCAGAGCTATAAATTTTTGTGCCTCTGTCTTTCCAAAAGTCTGTACTGTAAGAGTCGCAAGCTGTTCATTGGTTTTCTCTGCAATTCACTTCCAAGGTTTTTTCGACATCCTGATTGAAATTCATGATTTGAGGGACTCCGGGATCCTGGGAATGTAATAGGAATGCACAATAATGCGGGCCAGGGAATACAAGACAACAGGAATGCATTATGTGTGCAAGCGAATGCCAAAAGAGCAAATAAAAGGAAAGTCTGTTAAGAAAACCGATCCTGTTGTACTGTACGTGTTGCTCGTGGCAGTGCCAGAGATTGGCATAAGTGGATACTTGGCAAAGCTCATACTTCTGGAAAATCCCAACCGCTGCCCCATTTTCTTTCCCTTTGCAAAGCTTATGTGTCTCTAATATTTCAAACATACTTCCTATATTGGGAGGCTTGTAATAGACCTTCAAATCAGGATAACATGTAAATTTAAATGTTTCTCCTTTGAAAGGCAGAAACAGAAAACCAAATTCCTGGGAAGATAGGTGGATGGCTGGATAAATGATAGATAGATAGATAGATAGATAGATAGAGATAGATAGATAGATAGATAGATAGATAGATAGATGGATGGATGGATGGATGGATGGATGGATGGATGGATGGATGGATGATGGATGATAGATGGATGGATGGATGATAGATAGATAGATAGATAGATAGATAGATAGATAGATAGATGATAGATAGATAGATAGATAGATAGATAGATAGAGATGATAGATAGATAGATGATAGATAGATAGATAGATAGATAGATAGATTGATAGATAGATAGATAGATAGATAGATAGATAGATAGATAGATAGGCAGGCAGACAGACAGACAGACAGACAGACAGACTGAGACACACACACTGTAGATAGATAGATGATGGATACATAGATGATACATAGAAATAAAGACAGACAGACAGACATAAACTAAGTTCCTCTTATCCATCCTGATGGTCTGAGTTTGCAGCCGTCTCAGAATAACTGAAATGGACAACATGACTATGTTTCTCACCTGCAAGGAGTTGGTATTCCTACTTTTTTTGCTTTCTGGGATGTCTTCCTTCCCATGCAAGATGCTTTCAAGGGTGCCAAGCTAACATTCAGATGGTGTAAGAGTATGGTCTAAGGTGATTTAGGTTGACGATGGTTGATCTTTGCATCAGCCAAAATCAGATCAAATTCCTGAATTTTATCTGGGTGTATGCGTAGGATTCTTGGATCATCAATCATAATCTGGCACGGAAGGAGCAAAATATGACTTTATGCTTACAATGTAAAAAGTGGGTTTTTCAAATATTGCCGAGCAGCTGTTTAGACCCATGCCAGGGGTGAAATCCAGCAGGTTCTGACAGGTTCTGGAGAACCAGTAGTGGAAATTTTGAGTAGTTTGGAGAACCGGCAAACACCACCTCTGGCTGGCCCCAGAATGGGGTGGGAATGGAGATTTTGCAATATCCTTCCCCAGTCATGCCCACCAAGCCACACCCACAGAACCAGTAGGAAAAAAAATTGGATTTCTCCACTGAGCCATGCATACCATTTTAGAGTACATGAGGATGGATGTAGACATGCTGGTGAAATTGCATGCATCAATATGTGTGTGGTGGAGTTGGGAATTGGTGTTTAGTGAGAGGCACATGAGTGGCGCTTGAATTTTCAGTTCTTTCCCCACCTTATCTTGGCAGCAAATAGAATTTGAAGATCCATTTCAATGGGTATAGTTGTTTCAGGAACTATACCATCCCAAAAGTGCGAGAAGCAATGCTAGTGTTTTGGGATTGTGCTAAGGAATTTTGGAGAGGGTCTCGCACATCTACAAAGGGAGAAATGTGATGAATACAGGGGGTTACACAGCATTTCAAAAGCCTGCTTTACAAAATGTGACTTTCCGGTAGAACTTGGACTTTTTCCCAGTGTTCAGAGGGCAGCTGTTATGCACTCAGCTGAAACAATTCCACTTGTGGGAGAAACCTGTAAGAAATCTGTTGGCCTTTGATCACTTGCTTTTATTCTCTTGTGCACCGAGGCGATGTTGTTGTGAAAGTTTTGGACTAGGAGCATAGCGACTCGGATTTTAGCCCATCCTCAGCCATGAAACTCCCTGCAGGAAGAGGATGGAGGGCTAACCAAGCCTGAGCACCTGAACAAAATATGGAATATAAATGGAATCAGGGGTGGGGCTGCTGTGGGTTTGCAGGGGTTCGGGAGAACCTCTAGCTAAGATTCTGGGCAGTTCGGAGATCCTCCAAATCCCACTCCTGGCTGGCCCCTCCCATCCCACCCCGTCCCTTCCAGGACTCCCCCATGCAGCCCGTTTTGGTTGCAGGTAACTGCAAGATGCTCGGCGGCTTGGGGAGGGCGAGAAATGGGCCTACCAGAAGTTTGGGAAGGCCAGAAATGGGCCTGTTTCCAGCCTCCAGAGGGCCTCCGGAGCATGGGGAGGCTGTTTTTGCCCTCCCAGATGCTTGAGGAAAGCCTCTGGAGCCCGGGGAGGGCAAAAATGACCCCTCCACCAGGGTGCAGGAAGCCAGCTAGGCCACGCCCACCATGGCCACACCCAGCCAGCAACCAGGCGGAGAACCCCTTCTAAAATTTTTGAAGCCCACCCTTGAATGGAACAGACAAAGTCATTCTAGGGACCACGGTGTCTTTAAATATGTTTTAGCTGCTCTTTTTTCCCCTTCCATAAGATGTTTCCAGATGCGTTAAATGTCTTTTATTGAAATACCTCTGGTATTTCCGCCAGGTTTTCTGAAAGAAATATGTCAGAAAATAGACCACGGCATGACCTTCCTCTCTCTTTCAAAGCATTTAATTGTGTATTTCCCCCTTTTTTTCTTCTCTAGGATGTGACTTTCCACAGGAAGATGGACCAGGAAAGCAGACGATCTGCCAAAACTCACTAGCACCTGAATGAGAAGAGCCGCTGATCCCTTGGGTTTCCTCCCGCAACATCGCTTGACAGCTGAAGGATCCAGAAGACACGAAAAGGCAGTGCTAAAATACCATGGCATGCTTCAGGAAGGATACAGTTCCTTAATTCAAGCTTCATCTGAATTGTGGTGGCTTGATCACCTATAAAGCACATCTTCAAAGGAAGAGGCAGTTATGCCCATGTAGTTAACTGAACAGGTTAAAATATATCCACTTGCACAAAACACAGAACAAACTTTGATAAAATATAGCCGTCCATCCAGACGTATTTGCTCAAAATGGATGATGGCCGTAGAAACCAGGGGAGCCATGGGCTTGGTGATTATCGCTACCAGGATGGTGGCTACACAAGTTATGCTCCCAACGACCCAACCTATCACACTGGGGAGGAGCCCAATCAGGAAGAAGATGCTCAGAGCGATGCTACCGAAGGCCACGATGAAGACGATGAAGTCTATGAAGGAGAGTACCAGGGCATTCCTCACCCAGATGACAAGCCCAAGCAGAAGAAGAAAGCCGGCTTGTCCAATGAGTTCAGAGATCATGATGAGCTTATAGCAGAAAAGATGGAAGATGAAGAGCAGTTGGCTCACCAGTATGAGAATATCATTGTGGAATGCGGGCACGGGCGATTCCAATGGATGCTTTTCATTGTGCTGGGCTTGGCCCTGATGGCCGATGGAGTGGAAGTGTTTGTGGTTGGTTTTGTCTTGCCCAGTGCTGAGAAGGACATGTGCTTATCAAGCTCCAACAAAGGAATGCTAGGTGAGTCCTACATCTCTTAAGGAACTAGGAACGAGGTTGTATAGTTTTCCTGATTATATATTTACACTTAAATATATTTAAATGTATATGGAGATTCTCAATCTTCCATTCTCGATCTTCCATGGTGGTCCCAAAGATGCTTTCTCAAAAATCAACTGGACTTCCTTTGTTTTTCCTTGAAGACGTTTTGCTTCTCGTCCAAGAAGCTTCTTTAGTTCTGAGCTAAAGAAGAATAGAGAACTAACCAGTGGTGAAATCCAATTTTTTTTTTACTACCGGTTCTGTGGGCATGGCTTGGTGGGCATGGCAGGGGAAGGATAGTGCAAAATCTCCATTCCTACCCCACTCTGGGGCCAGCCAGAGGTGGTATTTGCCAGTTCTCCGAACTATTCAAAATTTTCACTACCGATTCTCTAGAACCTGTCAGAACCTGCTGGATTTCACCCATGGAGCTAACTAAAGAAGACCACAGAACTAAAGAAGCTTCTTGGATAAGAAGCAAAACACCTTCAAGGAAAAACAAAGGAAGCCCAGTTGTCTTTTGAAGCGGCACCTTTGGGATGATTATATATTTAGTTTCTAATTTCATTGCCTGCTCTCATTCTTGGGTGGAAGTATAGAGAGGTAAAACTGAACAAGCAGAAGACTGTTAGGTGAATTGCTTCTCCATATTTCTCATTGTAGATCAACCTTACCTAAGTCTTCCCCAATCTATTTAAGAAGTGCTGAGACTGGAGAATTCTTGCTACCCACATCTGAGGGTACCAAAATGTGAATAGTTTTTTTAATTGTCAAATGACTGGGGGTAGGATCAATACAATACATCACTTGTAAACCAGAAAAATTAAATCTTACCAAATGGAAGCCATAGAATCCATAGACTTTCAGGCATGGTTTCCACATGTTATATTATCTATAAATTATTTTACACATTTGTTTGAAAGGATTGCCCTGATTATGATTCGATTTGATTATTGTTTAGTCTATTTTCTGGGTTTGCTCAATGTGGAATCATAATATAAGCACAACATTAGCACAAATGCAGGCATGTGCAATCTCACTGAAATTAAAATGAAATAAATTTAGCTTGTTGCATGAATTCAGCAAGCTGATGTGACACCAACCTGGTTAAGTATCTTGTGCGAATTTAGCCACTGTATATGTCAGGGGGTTCAGGCTGGACCACAGAACCAAATTCATTCACAGGCTTCTAGACATACAATCAGGTTTGGGAAATTTAATGCAAATTTCAATCTGCATCCTTTCAGCCGCCAGCAGCCACTGAATTTCCTAGTGGTATCCTGAGCAATTCTGCACTTTGGTCTATCAATTCTCATTTAGTTGGATGAAAGAGATTTTGCTTTTGAATTTTCTTAAAAGGGGAAAAAAAAAAGAATTTGGATTTAGTGATGAACTCTTCTGGATAAGTCTCCCTGCAATAGTCTGTAGGTTCCAGGAAGACTGAGCGGCTTTAATGGGAATTGCCCTTTGTACAAGCAACAAAAGAAAGAAAAAAAGAGAAAGAGAGTGAGAAAGAAAGAGAGAGAAAGAAAGAGAAAGAAAGAGAAAGAAAGAAAGAAAAAAGAAAGAAAGAAAAAGAAGTGCTGAGACTGGAGAATTCTTGCTACCCACATCTGAGGGTACCAAAATGTGAATAGTTTTTTTAATTGTCAAATGACTGGGGGTAGGATCAATACAATACATCACTTGTAAACCAGAAAAATTAAATCTTACCAAATGGAAGCCATAGAATCCATAGACTTTCAGGCATGGTTTCCACATGTTATATTATCTATAAATTATTTTACACATTTGTTTGAAAGGATTGCCCTGATTATGATTCGATTTGATTATTGTTTAGTCTATTTTCTGGGTTTGCTCAATGTGGAATCATAATATAAGCACAACATTAGCACAAATGCAGGCATGTGCAATCTCACTGAAATTAAAATGAAATAAATTTAGCTTGTTGCATGAATTCAGCAAGCTGATGTGACACCAACCTGGTTAAGTATCTTGTGCGAATTTAGCCACTGTATATGTCAGGGGGTTCAGGCTGGACCACAGAACCAAATTCATTCACAGGCTTCTAGACATACAATCAGGTTTGGGAAATTTAATGCAAATTTCAATCTGCATCCTTTCAGCCGCCAGCAGCCACTGAATTTCCTAGTGGTATCCTGAGCAATTCTGCACTTTGGTCTATCAATTCTCATTTAGTTGGATGAAAGAGATTTTGCTTTTGAATTTTCTTAAAAGGGGAAAAAAAAAAGAATTTGGATTTAGTGATGAACTCTTCTGGATAAGTCTCCCTGCAATAGTCTGTAGGTTCCAGGAAGACTGAGCGGCTTTAATGGGAATTGCCCTTTGTACAAGCAACAAAAGAAAGAAAAAAAGAGAAAGAGAGTGAGAAAGAAAGAGAGAGAAAGAAAGAGAAAGAAAGAGAAAGAAAGAAAGAAAAAAGAAAGAAAGAAAAAGAAAGAAAGAGAAAGAAAAAGAAAGAAAGGAAGAAAGAAAGAAAGGAAGAAAGAAAGAAAGAAAGAAAGAAAGAAAGAAAGAAAGAAAGAAAGAAAGAAAGAAAGAAAGACCCACTATTGAAATTGAAAAATTAAAAAACCTACTAAGGCCACTCCAGTGATGGGTTGCCCCCGGTTTGGACCGGTTCGCAAGAACCAGTAGTAAAACGGCGGGAGACTCTGCCCACTGCCCCGGATGTCATCATAGGTGATCTGTGCATGCGCAGAAGCATGGCACACGATCCCATTGCAAACCTGTAGTAAAGATAAGTAGAACCCACCCCTGGGCCATGGCACATCCACATAATTGGAGAAGTTTGTTGTCCTGGATGTTGTGTTCCACGTGGTTAAATGTCGGACATTTTTCTATATGTGAAAATAGATTTGCTGCTCTTCTCACCCACTCCCTGCCCCTCTGAAAGTCAACTTGGCAGGTCTGTTGAGTTCCAAGGACATCTCCTTTTCTGGAGAAAACACTTTGCCAGATGAAACTACGCAGTAATTACATTAGGAAAACTCTGCTGGGCCAAGCAGAAAACCATTTGACTTGGTTTTCTCCCCTCAAGTGATTTGTATGTAATTTTATTTCCCCTGAATTGCATTAATTTTGTTCTTCACTTTGGTTTATTTCTGCTGATTGATACTGGAAAAGCATCATTTTCCTTTTTCTTTAAATGTCTTTCTGTTGTCTCGTAAATCGAAATCCAGGCAGTACTGCAGGATCTGAAAGTGATTCAATGTGGTGTTTGTGTCCCAGCTGGGATAATTTTTGTTCCTCTTGTCCAGATGTCTCTTTCAATTATAAGCCATGGCTGCATAGCAGGAGGTGGAAGAGACAACGGTCGTTGTGGTCTGCCAGCAGTCTGTGGAGCTGGCAGCGGAGTCGGACAGCAATGAGGCTGAGGAAGAACATGGGCCAGTCTTGGAGGCTGGGGAAGGTCTGGATGAGGGCTCTGCGTCAGAGGCAGAGATGGGGCCAGGGCCATCGGGGAGTGAGGTGTAGACTCCAGAGCCTCCAGAGGCTGATAGGAGTGAGGCAGAGGAACAGGAGGAGCCTGTTCCTAATGCACGCATGAGAAGAGCTGCCAGAAGGCAAGAGCAGCTCAAGCAAAGAGGACAACTCGGGAGTAGGGCCAAGAGATGATTGGCCCCTCCCATAAGGCTTAAAACAGACCAGCAACGGCATTTGGGCTTTGCCAGAAAACAACGTTGGTAGCTTCATCTTCTTCATCATCTACGTGTTGTATTTATTTTTGTATCTGTGACTTTTGAACGTTTGCCAAGAAAGGCCTTTGGCAGTTTGCCTAATTGGACCAAGGTTTGCGATAGGACTGAGGAATTTGTGTTGGGAGGAATTTGCTTTAATTTAGTTGAACGACGCTGGGAATGAAGTCATTCCCAGCTGTTCGAATAAAGTTTGTTTTTTCACTGACTGATTTTCCTACTACTCACTTGGGCCTGGGTCACAACAATGGTAAGCAGGAGGGACTGCATCAGTGGTGGGTTTCACTTACCTTTGCTACCGGTTCGCTCGTGCTTGCACCACTTCTGTGCATGCGCAAAAGGTTCTGCACATGCGCAGAGTGTATTTCATGACTTCCGGGTGGGTGGGTGGAACCTTCCGCCACTGCTACTACTGGTTCTCCCGAATTGGTGCAAACCAGGAGCAACCCACCACTGGACTACATGGTATCATCAAAAATAAAATAAAAAATGATATGTTGTGTTGAATACAACACCCCAATGTTGTGATCAAGGTGCGACCCAACGGAGTAGAGCTTCAGCTGCCATCTTGAGTTTTTTGACCAGATCCTGTAGATGCCCATCAGCAAGAATTTAGGTGTCAGGTTTTGATGTCATCTCAAATAAATTGCACTCCCAAACAATTAATTTTTGCTGAGATATTCCATTTATTGAGTACGACAGATCTGGCCCCGACTCATCCTAGCCGATACTAACCCTCTGACCCCAACCCCTTCCCTTTCCGTTCCCCAATTCTCATCTTCTCATTGGCCATCTTCCAAGTCAGTCTCCCCCCAGCTCCTGACTTCAACCCACAGGAATGTCCCCCCTCCCATCCCATCTCCTAGGAGATATTATCTACAGAGAAAATAAATAGGTGAAAAGTCAAGCCTCGTCTTCTCTCTATGGCAGCATTTGAATGCTGACATTAGGCTTTGAACCTGAAGGCTGGACGAAGGGAAAAAAAAGAAAAGAAAAGAATGGAGATCCATTTTGCCAAGACATCAGAAACATTTGCTAAGAGATCGGAGAAAAATCTAGGTGTGGTTCATAGGAATGCTTGTAACAGGGGCCATTTAAGGAAGTAACTTCATCTAACACCTTGGGTGCAATTCTTGCAGTTCCTCCATCAGCTGAACAGTATTCAAAACAAGCTCTACTTTCATTTTTAAAGGAGAATGAAGACTGGTGACGTTATTTTTTTTAAAACAGAGTGAGGAATACCAATACAAGAACATTCTT